TTTTTTGCTTTGGCGGTCGGAGGCAAAGAATTCCAATTCCCTTCTCCTTGGTATTGGAAAGCGTGAATTCTCCGCTCCTCAAATATTCCCTTTTTCGCGTAGGTCCGGTTCGGACCGCTGCCGGTTCACCTTTAATTGCGGTTCCGTCATAGTCGTGCAACGTCAACTTTTTTTTTTAATTGAAATAAATAAGAATATATTTCTATTTTCTTTTCTGAAAAAGGTTAGAGAATGATACGGAGGGACAACTCGGCAGTGATGGGAATGGAATGGGGTCGAAAGAGGAGGAAGCTAGCATCCACTAAATCGTCAGATTCGCTTCCGTTTTCAAACAAAAATTCTACTATCATGTGATTTCATATAACTTTTTATTTACCGTTAAATTATAAATTCGGCCCGAGTTCTTAACCTTTAAAAAATGTAGCCAATTGTTCGAATTCTCACCCCTATCCTTACACAATGAATTAAAAAAATTAAAAGATGCATAATAAATCCATGAACTTCCTCCAAATTTTATTTCTTCGGATAGTTTTAAAATTTTCAAGACTTATTAAATATTTTAAGAACCTATTGCACATTTATCAATATTTATGGATTCATTGGAACTATTTTATGTTTAAGGTAAAAGTTTAATCCCCTCCCTCTATATTTGTTGAACTGAAAGGGAAAAAAGTTTAGAATATTAAAATTATGTAAATGACACATAATAAATCAATGGTTCTCAACCTTCTAAATTATTATTATTAGTAGAAAAGAAAAAAATAAAAATAAAATTTTAATTATATTATTATCTAATTATCATTCGGTAGATCTTACATATCTGAAAATACTAATTATGTAGCTATAAATTAGTATCTGAAAGAATTCCATACTTAGTATTACTAAAAATATTTTCATTTGAAAAAACAAAAAAGGGTGGGTATCATAAAAGCTAGCACATGATTTTATTTTATTTTTATAAATAAGAGATAAAAAAAATGTTGAATCTTAAGAGTGGTTTGACAATTTATTCTATAGCACAATTGTTATAAATTATAATTGAATGGCTCAATATATCAAGGTTAATATGAAAATTATTTACAGCCTCATTATTCTCTAAAGGAAAATAACTTCAATTGTTTCAAGAAGCATGATAAAGAGATTAAAAGTTTGTTATCATAATTGAGTGGCCTGAAATATGATAAAAATAGTTACATGTCAAAAAAATATTCAAATTTTTTGGCTCTTACAAGGATTGTTAATATCTTAATTATTAATTTGAGCACGAATCATCACATTAATAATCCAATTAAATTCAATATCAAAAAGTTATTTGTTAGGTAGTTAATGGTCCAATTGATTTTGTTTCAATGCATAGTTAACTATATTCATTTAATAATGATTTTATTCTTTTTATTTTTTCTTTAAAAAATATTTGTATATGTCAACATGAACTTAACTAAAAAATGTTAAAAATAACTATTGAAGGTTGAATCTTTATTAAAGAGAAAAAAATTGAATATAAATCAATTTCTTTATTGTATAATATACCTTTTAAAACACCCTTAAATTCTTAACTAAATTTCAAACCTACAAAATTAAAGACATTTTCAAAACTTTTTTTTTTTAAAGTAATTTTAACACGTGAACAAGTTTAGGAAACTCATTTAAATCTTAAGAAAATGTTAAGGCAACTTCTTATTTTGGTCTAGAATATTGTTGTTACAATAATAAAAAAAATATTGCCAACTAACTCAACAATGAAGATATTTACCTTTTTGTTTGAGGTCTGAAGTTTTAAACTCTTCAACATTTATTGTATGGATAATAATTAATCATTATTATTGATTTTAAATAACTTTGATTCATTTAATCCTTCTACTTTCAAAACTATCATTTTGTACTATACTTTCAATTTTTGTTCATTTTAGTTTATGTACTTTCATAATGTTCATTAAGATTCCTAGACCATTTTAGTCCTTTCGCTTTCATTTTTATCTCATTTCTTTCAATCATAATTTTAGCATTACCGTTCATCATTAAATTACTTGGAATATATCCACAAATTTGTTTTAAGAGGTTTTTAATGTACATAAAATTTGAACCAAAATGAATATTTTTGAAAGTACAAAAACTAAAATAAACAAAAACTGAAAATAGTGGTACCAAAACAAACGTTTTGAAAGTAAATGAACCAAAATAGTATTTATATTTATATTGTTAATATTACTATTATTAACATTTTATTAAAACCAAAATTGGCCAAAGAAGATACGAGAGAAAGAGGGAGAATAATTGGCAAGTGGAGGAGGTGGGAGTCATGAGGAAGGGAAGGGAATATTGGTACATGGTCGGCAACAAAAATTGGCCCCCACGTTGGAAGAGCAATTTGGATGGTTCAAACATTCGAAAAGACAAAACCCAATTTCCTCTAATTTACTTTGACATCTTTTTTTTCCCCCTTTTTTTCCTTCCAGTTTTGGATTCATATGCTACCCCTTTCGAATTCGATTATTTTGAAGAAATTCGACTTGTCCATTTCTCTGTTGGAAGGGTATCTAATTCCAATCACTGCCAGAGTCGAATTGACTTCAATTTTTTTTTTTTTATCAATATTCCAACTAAGACTTTGTTTTAAGGAAATGAAGAAGAGATTTGCAAGAGAGAAAAAAAAAAGGCCATCTTTTTACAATAAACAACACCAATGGGATGGGACTTGTCAATACAACTAACTATTCTTATCTGCAAAATAAAAGCCTGTCCTTATCTGCAAGAGATTGGCAAGAAAAGCCTATATATGCCTTCATTTTATATCTGTAGTGAAGTTGGTGATGAGGCAATTCTGAAGGAACTTTGGGGTACATATGAGAAATCTGTTGATAAGATATGCCTCTACCCTTCCATAACCTTTTTGGAGAATGTCTGATGTGGCATATTTCTCTTCTTCTTTCTTCTGTTTTCGTTTTTCTAATACTTTGTGATCTATAGCTTTATGTGAGGGTTGAGAAGTGAATCCACGAACTATTTGGAGAAGTAGAGATGTCTTAACCACTAAGTCGTACTCATATATTTTCTAGAAGTCGTCTAATTTTGATCATAATGTGTAGAAATAATCTATCCAAAATTGTTTAGGACCCGTTTGATAATATTCATGTTTCTTGTTTCTCGTTTCTAATTTTATTAAGAAATCTACGAATTTAACAAGTATTTATGTTTCTTGTTTCTTTTTTTTAGAGCATTCTCAAAATTGTATAAAAATTTGGGAAACAACAAAAACAAATTTTTTGTTTTTTGTTCCAGTTTCCAATTTATTCCAACATAAATAAAAATCTAGTTTTATCATTTTCTAATCTATGGATATTGGTGGGTAACAGGTCCAAACCAACTCTTAATATCTGATCTTTTTCAATTCCATATTAACTTGAAAGCTATTATGGGAACCTGAGCCTCTCCAGCATTTTAAGAAAGAGAGAAATTAGCAATGGCCAAGCCACACTTTTTTTTTATTGCCCCATTTCGAAGATGGAGTAGAATCAGGAAAAGGTCAGATTTGCAGGCATATTAAATCTTGAAGCCGTGAGCTAAATGAAGAAGCCCAATCTTAAGTCTAATGAGAAACAGAGGGCTGATTGGCATCCGATTAATGAAACTTGGAGCTCTTGGATTGAAAGGCCTTTTGAGGAGGAAATCCAGATGGCTATTTCTTCCAATTTTCCATTTTGGTCCTTTGGATAATCAAAACTAATGTCCCCATATTTGTTGATCTTAAAATAAAATATTGTACATTTTCAAGGTGGTTTCCTTTTTAGGCTTAGGATCAACACCAATAAGTGTTCTATAGTGGGCATTAATTGTAAACCATCCAAGTTTGCTAGTGGGCTTGTTTAGCGAGGTGTGAGGTATCTCCATGCCTATTACCTACTTTGGTCTCCCACTGAAACTTAATCCTAATTCATACCTAAATTTCGTTTTGGAATCTAATGGAGAGAGATTTGAAAGCACATATTTTCTTGGAAGAAACGCTTTCTTCTCAGACAGAGAGATTGACTCTGATTTAGTCCATGTTAAGTGGGAACCTGCTCTATTATATACCCGTATGTACGATTCCCATTCAATTCGTGTTATTAAAAAGAGAGATTGTCATCGTGACTTTTCCTCTACCAAGGCCACTTTAAGTAGCAAATAGACAGAGACAATGGCCATTTCATAATGAAGAAATGAGTGGGCAGAAATTTATAACATGAAGACGCAAGATCAGCATATTGCAAGACTGCGTTTTTTTTTCTAATTTCAGTAAAAATAACAAGAACAAAATCAATCACCTATGTTAAGAACACTTCTAACGTACCCTTTTTGCAGCATTCGAAATTTCAGATCGAAATAAAGGAGTTGCGTATGTTTCCATGAACACCATCCAACACTCAAATCATAGAAAACACTACGTATTTAGAGGGAAAAATTTAATGGCTGCACATGACAATATTAGCACATCACGCGAGATGCATATAATGTTTTCATGCTGGAAAATAATAATGATAAATAACTATCCTACCGTCACTGCATAATCATGCTAAACATTAAAAGAACAAAAACAAAAACAATAAAAGGATGATTAAATGCAATAAGGATAAGACAGAAATGAAAGATGCATGTCTGTCTCGAATATATCAAGGATTGAGTATCGGTTTTTGTCGCAGAAGCCAGATAAATAATCGATAGAGGAAATTCAGGCACAGTAACAGTGTAATAATAAAAGCATCCGTTTGATCCTAAGCGAATTTAAATCAAATTATCGTCCAATCTAATAGATGAATTTACGATTCCCACGAAATCTGACCTGACTTAGGAGCGGGAAGTAGTCCAGCACATAGAAGCCAGAAGAAAGAGCATTGGCACGCTTCTTCCGATCCGATCGGCCCCATAGCGTTTCTTTTTCGTGGCTTCTCCCTTACTTTCGTGAAGCCTCGAATCGGTCAAGAACTTCTGAGAATTCTGGCGCCTGATTCGGCAATAGAACCGGAAAGAGAGAAGAATCCCTCCTGATCAGAGATTGTAAGGGAATTTTACGCCAAAAAAGGAACAGAGGAACGAAGAAACCCTAAATTTGGGAAGTCTGGAAATATGAGAGACAAAAGGCGGGAACTCCTCAACCCCCGCGCGCATCAGTCGTTTTCCCGGTTTCAATTTTTTTTTTTTTTTTGGTGAATAATTTCAATTTCAATTTCTTTTTGAACTATAATTTTTTTTAGTACATAAATATATTAGTATATGTCCATTGAAAAATAAAATTTTTAACGTGAATATGCGGTAATAAATTGATAATTACCTCCATTATTGTTGAATTTGATCGCACTGGCACTGGCACGCAAATTATTCTAGATATATATATATATATATATATATATATATTATGCAGGCAAAGACATTCACAAGACATTTTGGGAAAAAAATCATATAATTATAATAAATTAATTCATGTGGTTGTTAAAATTATAAATTGAAAATTAAATCACATCTTACACTTTAAATATCGTGTTTAATGATATTTTATAGATTTTTTAATTTTTTATATTATGTATTACAGATTCATAAACTTTTAAAATGACCTACCAAGCCTCTAAACTTTTATATTTTATTTTTTAGGTTTATGAACTTTAAAGTATATCATGTATGGGAGATTTTGTTAGATATAAAACCGAAAGTTTGGGATATATATATATTTTTTAAGTTCAAAAAGGCTTATTAAACCTAAATTGAAAGGTTATGACAATAATGTAAATAAGTATTACTATGATATTAACTACAATATATATATATATATGTTTGAGGTGCCAACTCGCGATTATAAAGAAAAAGTATATGAATTAAAATCTACAAGATTATAATTCATTCATCAAATTATAATCAAACATTGCTAATATTACATAGCGTAGATCCTATACTAACATGAACTTAACTCAACTAGTTAAGATATTTATATTTCATCAAAATATTGTGACTTCAAATTCTCATTCCTATATATTATTGTATTATAAAAAGTAAATAAGAAAATCATATTAGTATGGTAGGTAATTTATAGGAAAATTATATTACATTTTGGCTTCTATCAATGATTAACACTACCTCACGTGATATAAAAAAAAGCACTACCTCATGCATTTCCTTATCAATAGAATTTGACAGGAGAAACAAATATATAAACATTCATCAATATAGTCACGTGGGGTTGTTAATAATTCTCTTAAAATTATATATGTATTCACATACATATATACATCCATATACATATACAAAAACATATATATTTCATTTTAATTATTAACAATTAACCAGACAAACGAATACATTGACTGATAGAAATGGTGATTGTACCTCTCATTTTAAAAAATATAAAACACAATAAAATAGTTATTAAAATGGACCAAAAATTTTAAAATCGCCTAATTTTAAAACGGATAGGTTGAGAAAAATGCAGAGTATTATACAAATAAAGGAAGAGATATAAATATTTATACAACGTACACAAAAAAGGCAAATTAACAATTGAAGACTTTCTCCATATCACATTCACAGCTTACAGGCCTTCCCTCCCTCACTAATTTTCCCGCTCCACCGCCATATCATAACAATTCAAATTTTAAAAAAATTAAAAAGAAAAAAGGATTTTTTTTTTTTTTTGTACGAAGGCTTAAAAAAGAAAGAAAAGAAAAAAACCGCACAAGCAAGAAAAGAGAAAAAGAAAAAAAAAAAAAAAACAAAGAAAAGGAAATCAAATACGTAATGTAATAATGGCCCTCCCTCTCGTCTCCACGCTCAGTCTCTCTGGCGATTCGATTTCGATCCTCTGATTCATTCAGCCCCACCATTGATGAACCGCTACACCTTCGTCGCGGAGCTGGCCGTACAAGGCCAAGCACTGCCAGTAAGCTCGCCCGCCGCCGCCGGAAACCTTCCGGCCGCCGGTTGTCTGTGGCTTGCATTCCAAGAAAAGTTCATCGACCAACCGTATGGCCTTGGTTTTCATCATCTCCTCCACCACCTCGGCTTCTGCTTTCATTACGACGTAGTCTTCGGCTCTTACGTTCTTCGATAGCCAGTCGGAGATTCCGACCTGCAGCGCATTCGACGATGGCTCTTGATCGGTACTCACCGTCTGGATCTTGTACATTTCGAATTTCTTGTTTCTGGTAGGGTAGTTGTTTGCGAACCAGCTTGTGCCGCTTCCGCCTTCCTTCTCTGGAAGTCCGACGTCGATGAAAACATGGCGGGGATAGCCTTCGAGAGAATCTCCCATCAAATCTGGAAGGTATCGCGTTCGCTGCAAGTACCGCCTCGACTTTCGCGACGCCGATCGCGGCGGTTCGAGGAGCACATCTTCGAGTTCGTTTAGGGCTGCTCTTTTGGCGTCAGATTCGTACGCAAGAAGTCGTCTCCGAGAGGGGGAATCGATCTTAGTTTGGCCTTCGGTCTTCTCCACGTCGAAGGGAGTAGAATCAGATTGTTCGAGGTAAACGATTCTGTAGCCATTGGACTTGTCGTTGAGTCGAAGAGCGACGATGCCGATCTCATTATCAGAGCCGAATTCGGCATTGGTTAGGAACGATTGCGATGCGCTAGAGGATCCTTTGAGAACGGATCCGAAATAAGGCAATGAAACAATGAACAAAGCCAAGAGCACAGCTCGAGCAAGAAATCTCAAAACTCTGGATTCTGCTGTAGGGTGCTTGATCACCAAATACAGACCATCAACGTGGTCGTAGTTGTGGGGTTTTGTTTGGAAACCTCGAACCAAGCCGGGCGCCATGGATTGCTTGAACTGAAAACTTCGAATTAGAAGGACGAAAAAACTTTCGTATGTTGTGCGGTTGAATTAGGGCAGAAAACAGAATTGAAGAAAATTTCGCAGACAGATTATGAGCAGGCAGAGAGAGAGAGAGGGGAAAGCTGAAGCAGGGGAAAATGGGATTTTAGCGAGTGCAAAATCTGGCAGCGGTGTGATTTCCACCCACGAGGGCCACACGGGAGCTTTGAATTCTAGACCATAATAGCATCAACTGCCTCATCCGAAGCACCTCCATGGTTTATCTTCGTCAGTCCCCAGATCGATGGTGTGTGATTTACTCCACAAAAGTTTCAGTTTCTGCCTAATGGCAGAGACGACACGTCGGCCGAAACCACACCACCACCGATCAGAGAAACATTTGGTACACAGACACAGAGATCAGAGCAGAGCCTTTGGGATTTATCCCTTTTCCCCCTTATTTGTTTCGGACGGATCTGTGGAATTAAATGGGAAATTAATGTAGGGAAAGAGAGAAGAGAGGCAACAGAAGATTTTGTTGTGAGGTTTAACATTTTTGGCGGAAAACAGTTTGGGGTTTGGCGTAGGAAGCTGAGGATTCATGGCTAATTTTCATCCGTCTCTCATTTGCTTCCATTGAAATTCCTCCGATCACATCGCTGGACGCTGGGCATTGGTTATCATTACAACACAATTAAGGTATGTGTATGGTGCTCAGTTTATTTTACTCTCTCTCTCTCTCTCTCAAATACATCATACTTTATATTTAATTTTTAATAAAAACCATAAGTTTTGGGCTAAATATATCGATAATGTTTTAACTAGTTCTTAGGTCTTAATTTAGTTCCCAATGGTTTAAAATTCTCAATTTCATTATATTTTATTAGAAAATTTTAACACCAATTATGTACCCAATAAAACTATTAACTCTCTTTGATATAAAATTGTAAATACGTTTCAAGAAATTTATCAAGTATAGTTCGTTTTGGAAGTATAAGAATCAAAATAAACAAAATTTTAAAGTACGGCAAACAAAATAGATGTTTTTAAAGTATAGGAAAAATAAACAAAGGTAGAAAGTATATGGACCAAAATACTATCTAAACTAAAAATCTATTAATATGAGATTGATTGTGTTATTAGATTTATTTTTTAATCTTTTTGCCAAATTTCATATTGGTGGATTTCAAAACATTAAAGTGACATGTTTACTTTTTTTTTAAAGTGACATCTTTATATATCTAAATATATTAATAAAACAATAATTTTAATGTATGATTTAACATTTGTTTTATTAAAGGATCTAATTGAGAAGTTTTAACGCCTTAGTAATTAATTATGAATTTTGATTAAAGTTTTTTTTTTTAAGAAAATGGGTT